TTTTTTTTTATATTAAATTTTTTATTTACTTACACCAAGACAATTAAGTAAATGAGTCATTATTTGATCGCAATATGGTGCTAATTTATCAAGTAAAGAACGACTTAAATCACCTACAACACCAACAGCAGCTGCACATATTTGATATTCAGCATGATTATTTAATGCTTCATAAAGAAATGGAAGAACATGATCGATATATTTAATAAAATTCATTCCCAAGACTAAAAAAAACAAAAAAAAAAGAATGAATAAGATAAGAAATTTAAAACTAGATAATAATATAACCTTCAACAAGAGTTCCAATAGCAACAAGTGCATCTTCTTGTACAGCACTTGTTTTACCACTATTTGTTTTAAGCATTTGTAATAAAGCTTGCATAATTGGATCAGATATAAGTGGTGCATCATTTGGATGCATTTTTCGAAGTACACTCTAAATAGAAACAAGATAAAATATCAAAAAAAGTGTTTTTAGATAGATCCCATTGTGGATAAAAGACTTTAAAACTTTCAGCCTAATAGAACGATTTATTCTCGAGATATGGAATATCGAAAAAAAAAACAAATCATAAATCACAACTAGTCGAGACTATGTCCATCATATAGACACAATTAAGCTATGAATTTTCCGAAAAGATTTTGTATCCTTAACGTATTACTATGAAGGATACTACCCTTTTACGGTATTTCTTAAATGACTATCGTGGTTACAGAAAAACTGATTTTCGAATTTTGCACAAACAGCCAAATCTTAATGAGAGTAGTTTCAAGTCTTTTGATTTACTTCTATCCTGATATAAGAACATCACATCTGCTGGTTTATATAAACGATGTAAAAGATATACTATGATTGTAGCTGTATCTTAGAATAAGAATAGCGACAAGAGTTGAAACTTAACACAATAGACTATTCTCGTTAAGGTCTGTCTCTATACGAAACTTGAAAATCAGTTTTTCTGTTACCACAGCATTTATTTAAAAAATACTGTATCTCCGCAACAATAAAATACGGACATAAAATCTCCTTAGGATATTCATAAATCATTCTAGTCTACATAACGTACATAGTCTCGACTCAAAAGTGATTTATCAATTGATGGATTCTCTTATCAAGTCCAAAGCCCTCTTTTAGGTAGAACTCCTTATCAGTGATTATAACCCGAGAAGAACAATGTATGCAGATTAGAACTCGTCGGACTGGTCTGGATCCAAAAATTTTAAATCCGAAGAGCTCCACAAATTGAACTATATCCGATTGAAAATGGCGTGTAACATTTAGGAATCTTTCCTTATTAGTAGACACTATTGAATATGACAACATAGTCAATCATTTGATTTAATTTAAAGATATTAAAAAAAAAAAAATTTTTCTATCTTACTTGAAGTGTTGCACAAAGTAATGATTGAAGATCAGTGATTTGGACTCGATCATTTGGATTAGCTGTATGACTTTCAGCTGATATAACACGATTTAATCGATCAAGTACAGTTACTGTAGTTTTTTGAACAGTAAAATAACAATCCTAAAAATTAAGGCAAAAACAAAAAATGAATAGAAAAATTTTTCATTTAATTATTTATACTTTTGGACTATGACGAATCATTTCCATTAAAGCTTCATAAGCAGCATTACGTAAATTTGATTGATTACCATCCGATCTAGATAAAAAAATTTCATTAAATTAAAATTAATAAAAAAAAAAACTTTCTTCTTTTACCTATCAGTTGTTTCAATAAGTTTTTTAACAATTTCATCGAAAAATGGTGATAATAAATATGTAGTTGGTGTATCATCATCATCTGGACATTCTGCATGATCATAAGCAGCACGAGCTAAACTTGAAAATGACTAAATAAATACAAAAAAACAAAAAACTTTGGCTTTATTATTTTTATTAAATTCTCTTTTCTCATACCCAACAAATATTTGTTGCTACACGTGGTTCATCTGATAAACGATTAACAAGTGCATTTCCAATAGCTCGAAGTAATTCATCATTCATAACAGCTTGTGAAACAAATTCAAATATACGTCCAATTGTCCATGCTGTTGTATCACGTACAGCAACATTTGAATCACGTAATAATTCAAGTAAAAATGGTATAGCTTGTTCAGCAATTGGTTTAATACTTGCAACATCAGGTCCTTCTAACATTGAACCAAATGCCATAACAGCAGCTTCACGATGTCGCCAATTTTCATGTTTTATATTTTCACTTACAAATGGAAATACATATTGAATAATTGTATTTTCAGCACAATTAGCTAATAACATAAGACAAACACCAGCAGCTTTACATGGATTCCAATCATCATCATCATCTGTTTCTTCTTGCATAGTTAATCGTTGAAGTAATACAGGTACTAAATATGGTAATGCACCACGTGCATAATAACGACTTGTTCGTTCAGGTTGACGATTTTGTTCTTGAGCCTAAATAATATAAATATTAAACAAAAAAAATTAAATTTTTTTATCGTACTTCTTGTTGAACTAATTGTAATTCATATTCTTCATCACATACATTTGACCAAAATTCAATACCTTGTAAAGCTATTTCATCATGTGTAGATCTCATTGCATCCATAGTAATCTAAAAATTAATATTTTGTTTTCAATAAAACAAAAATTATTCATAAAATTTTGAACATAAACTTACAGCAAATAATGCTGGTCCCATATAATATTCCATATAATCATAATATAATGTGAGAATTTTAACGAGATTTTGTAAAGCTGCTACTTGAATCTAAAGTAGAAAATTGTTAGTACAATCTCTACAAGTTTTTAAAATATGAAACTCGATGTAAGTGTTGTTTCTAATCATAGGAAGATTAGATCGCATTTCACAAAAAACAACAAAGTAAATGTTTTAAGAAGAAAACAAAAATTTTATTTACTTTTAAATTTGTTGATTGTGTGGCTTCGCATACAACTTGCATAATATAATGTCGTTCACTCTATTCAAATAAAAATATCATTATTGTTTTCTTTTTCTTTTTTTAAATGGATATATTTAATCTTACATCATTTTGAAAATTATTCTTTGAAAATTCCAATGAATTAAGCATAGCTGTTGTAGCTGCAAGTCGAACATTATCATTGGTTTCTTCTTTACGCATACCATATACAAGTGCAGTCAATATAACATTACTCTGAGGTACAAGTACATTTGAATCCTAAGAAAAGAAAAACAAACAAAAATTTTTATTTCTAAAAATAGATAAAGAAATAAAATTTACAATATCTTGACATATATAACCAAGTGTTTCCAAGCTTGCTTCACGAATATTATCAGGTCTTCCGACCGTTGTAACATTGGCAACCAATCGTTCTATAATATGACATACATATTACAAAAGATCGATGAAAATTTCAATAAAAAGAATTTACCGATTAAATCTCGCCATTGACCACGTGGTAATTCAGCACAAGCTATATAACCAACACATTGAGCTGCTTGTGATGGTTTCGTTGTTTCAGTACCGAGAGCATTGAAACACTGAATAATAACAGAAAATTAAAATAAATATGAAGAGAGATAAAAAAAAAACACATTGAAATTTTACATTATTTTTGACATGATTTCTGACATCTTCTGGTATAAGAAGCCATCGTTCTTGAAAAGCTTTTATATCATCGCGTGAATAAAGTGCATTTTTAAGTTGTAGTGCTAGAAAAAAAATTCAAAAGTTTACATATCGCAACAAAAAAAATCATTTTATTTCAAACAACATTAGAACTATATTGATATTATTTTAAATAAGAAAATCTTCATAAGATTTCTATTATGCGTTTATTAAAGAAAACATATTAATTTTAATAGAATAGAATATATGCAACGGATGGTTGAAATGTTTTTAAACAAGATGTTTGTATTCTTTTGATCTGCTTGAAAGCATTCGCAGACCCGAATTTAAATATGAGTTTAGAAATGTTGTGTTTATTTTTATTGAACTTTTTGAAAGAACTAAACAATTATTTTTAATAATGATCCAACAGATTTTTATTTATTCTCTATAAGTCCTTTTTTTCGAATATGTGAAAACTTGTCGAAGTCGGTCGTTTTCTAGAATGGAACTTCTTCGTAAAATGAGACATTAAATTAAGCTGTAGCTTTTATTTTCATCGTTGACGTCATTCAATGCAATTGTCCAGGCCTACAAATGAGTTGGTTGATAGAATATTTCATGCCTGGATTATCTCATTTTATTTTTATAGTTTCTGAATGTTTTACTGTATCTGTATATAATCGTCTATACCGTATTCTCGAAAGAACTTCAAGTCGGCAACGACGAGATAACTCAGTTATGAAACATGCTGTCAACAAATTCATTTGTACTATTGCTTAATTCTATTGAAAGACGTATATTCTTCAATGAAGTAAATTGTCATTCGTAATACACTACACTACACTAAAGTACTTAAGTCATTCTTGTAATTAACATTCATTTGAGATCAATGGGATTGGTCAAAAGTGAACCAATACTTCTGTCAATGATATATGAAAACTATAATATGATTACCTGCTTGTGTACGTGCTGTTGGATTATTTGTGGCGGTATTTAAAATATCGGAAAGTTGTATTAAAAGTTGAGGCTAAAAACATAAAAATTAAAATAAGTATATTAACTTAAATAAACATACCAAATTTTGTTCAGCTGCTCTAGCAAGAAAATTTCGTGCATTCTCCAAATCAGCTTGTGCTATAATAAATTTAAATATATTCATTTTCTTTCTTTTTTTTTTTTAGAATTCTAAATCTCAATACTTACATCCAGTGACTGTTCGATCAAGAATATGGATGAGTTCTTGTGCGGACATCGCACTTATTTAATTAAAAAGAAAAAAAAATTTAAAATTCAATCTAGAAATATAATTCAAAAGATGAAACAGTTAACATGCTCTCTCTTTTTTTTTGTTAATTATTTTCTTTATTTCTTTTGTGTTTTTTTTAATCTCTCTCTTTTATATTAAAATGAGCAAAAACAATGTTTAAGCAAGAAGAGCAGCGGCTGTTGATGATTCATATTTCCATGTTGGTGGTAAAACTTTTTTTGTTTTATAATATCGTGCCAAACGATGAATACGACTTTCAACAAGAATTAAACGAAATTTGGAATCTTTATCTTTACGATTACGTTCCAAATGTTTACGAATAGCAACAGCTTTTTTTATTAAATGATGTAAATCTTCGGGTTTACTTGGTGCAAGACCTTTGGCTTTCATGATACGTAAAATTTTATTTCCAGTTACAAAACGTGTTTGAGCAACACCATGTGAATCACGAAGAATTACACCTAAGAAAAGAAATTTTAATTGTTTGTTTTAAAAGAAAAAAAAAAGTGAAGAGAGGGAAAATTTATTACCAATTTGTGATGGTGTTAAACCTTTTTTAGCTAATTTGCAAATTTGATCAACAACATCTTCGGATGTTAATTTAAGCCACTGATTACAAACAAAAAAGAAAAAAACAATAAATGACATTTAGAATTTATCTTCGAAAATTTACTTACTGATGGAACAGTTCGTTTATAGGGTAAAGCAGAATCTGAAATACCCTTGCTAAATAAAAGATTTTAATTAAATTTAAAAAAATAAATGAAGCAAAATATATACCCAGGAGCATGCATACGACCCATGGTGATAGTTTTATCTTACGAACGAATCGAAATCTAAAAAGATAGACAAAAAAAATGTATGAATTGTTAGTCAAAAATGGACATGAATGGTTATTTCTTTAAAAGAAATAAATAAATAATATGGCCCTATTGAATTCACTTGGACCTCCGATAGGAAAAATTTCAAACATAAAAATTTTCTTAACACTTTTCTAATAAAAATAATCCAAAGAAAAGATTTTTTCATATAGAAATTAATTTTATTTTTATATAAAATTATATTAAAGTTAATTTTTATTGGAGAAAATAAATAACCAATAGATTTTGTTTTCAATGATTTGTTGTTTGTCAATATTGGAATGAAAAAAAAGGCTTTTGTTCTTTTGAAAATATGGAAGATTCATTTACTATTGGTTCCTAAGTTTTAGAAGTGTTTTTAGAAATAATCTTTTCTTTTAGATTGTTTAGAATTATCAATAACTATCGAAGGTAGAAGATTTAATAGTTTACAAGATCAATACTTCTGTTATTATTAAGACATAATATTGAATAATAAGCTACATTCTAGGCTTTTTTTTTAAGCATATTTTATTTCAATTAAAATATGGTAATAAATTTCCTTGATTTGTCTATTTCATAAATATCTTTTATGTGAGAAAGAAACTCATGCATTTTATAAGATATACATATTATAGGAATAATGAATATTAGAAAAAAAAACTTGATTATTATTTATATTCCTTAGTATAATATTGATTATTTATTTAATTGAAATATTTAATAATGTAGTACACTATATCCTTATCATCTGTATCTATTATATCTTGTTGTTTTAAATATTTTATTTTTGATTGGATTGTTTTTTTTTTACTTTTTATATACTAGTTGATTAATCATTTAAAATTCTTTATATGATATTCCTCCCTGATGTTTAGATTTTAGTTTTAATATAATAAGATCTGTTAATGACAAAGAACATTAACAGGTGTTCTGTCTAATATAATACTTTAATGCAATTATAAATCATGTCTATATATACAATATCTTGAATTTAATATTGAATAGACTATGTTACCGACCCATTTATATATTACATATATCACGTCAATCTTGTTTCTCCTGCCCTTTCTTTTTATAATCATTAGTGTAACATAGAAGACATTAAGTATTAACTATGTTGCATATTTTTCAAAGATTATTGTTTATGATATGCTTGAATAAATTGCATATCGTTTTTTATTATCTAGAATTCAAAAAAATATCGATCATATATATTTGCCTATATGATACAATATATTATCATAAATGATGTAATGAATATTGATAGAGTTATAGATTTATATGAAATAAAAAAAAGTTTTGTATCTTAGAAAAGATCAAGGTGATAGAAAGGATAATATAATAAATTCGTTTCTTTTTTTTTTGAAGGTATTTTTAAAAGTAACAATTATTCGTCATGTCGTCACATCATCGCTCCGGTGGTCCTCCTTCGTTGATGGACGATGTGCCTGATTTTGTATGTTTTAATTATCAATTATTCGATAGGAAAGATTAACTTTTTTAAAATTTATTTAGGATCGTAGTTTACATTCACATCGTTTCGAAGGCGGAAGAGGTGGCCGAGGTCGTGGTGGTGGAATGCGAGGAAGAGGTGGTGGTGATGGAGGTGGAATGAGAGGAAGAGGCGGTGGTGATGGTGGTTTTGGTCCTCGAGGTGGTTCTCGTGGTGGACGTGGCGATTTTCATCAACGCGACCGTTTTAATAATAATAATTTTAATCGATCTTATGATGAACAACGTGGGGGTGGCGA